GTTTTTGTCTCTGACATTATTTGAACCCCACATTCTGGTCCGTCAGTCTGTCCAGTAACTGTTTAGGCAACAAAGGTCTGAGGAAACTGTTGGAGGTCCTGCCTCGGCTTAGTAGCATCCAGGAGATCAAGTAAGACCTGCACACCAAGTGATAACAACATGACTAATAATGATACACTCAAAACAATTTTAATACATCTGAAACTTTACTTGTGATAACTAACCCCCAAAATAGGGAGTGCATTTATTAAGAATGAGTGACTCTGCCGGTAGGATTTTGTGTGTTTTGAGTGTTTCAAATGAAAGATGGTGGTAGACTGGGCTGGTCTAATCTAGTTGGCAAACACTGGGCATTTGTTTTCTCACCAAACCGGTTCCAGGCAAAACGTGCCAGAGCTGGCAGTTACTACCCTGGGGTATTATTCAGTACAAATATCTTATTTAGAGCTAAATGATGTCCCTCCCCCTGGCTCATTGTTTTTTGTGTGTGTGTTTTTTAGTGCCAGGAACAACAAGATCAGCATGGAAGGAGTGGTGATGCTGGCTGGTGCTTTGTGTTCCCATCACAACTTAACACAAATTCACATAAGGTGCTTTTTGGTTTTTTTTTAGGCATTAATTATTAATTTTATTAGAGCAGCTAAACAGTGAGCACCTGTTTCTCCAACATGGCAAGCAGCCAGTTAGAACAGCTGATAAAAGCTGTGTAACAGCTAATTTTTTATCTGTTAAAATACAATGTATAAACACTAAGTGAATTGGGGCACATTGGTGTTGTTAACTATAAACTAGTGTTGTGCACATTGTTAATCTGATAGTGTCCTGTTGGTTTTATAGTGATGGAGGCAGAGAGCAGCTGACCCTGAAGTTCTGCCCTAACAAAAGGTAGAAAAGCTCCACACATCTGGTCACCACTCTGCTTTTTCATTTGTCAGTTAATAAGCTAATGCTGTGCTCTTTTTTTTAGCGATGACAAACAGCAGCTAAAGATGTTCAGGTACAGTAAGCTGATAAAGAGAAACACTCATACACACAATTCTCTTTAAAATACAATACAAATACATGTAATATGTAACATATAATATGAATACAAAATGATCCTTTTTTTGTGCTGCAGGATAAACAACAGTAGCCTCCTGCCGAATAATATGACCACACTATGTAAAAGACTGGTCAAATGTCGCTCCCATTTGGAGTTAGAGTAAGTTTCATTATTTTATATCCATCAAACATGACTTATTTCAGGATTATGACCAAACAGGTAGACATTAATATACTTATATGTTGTGTCAGTTTGTCTCACAGCTCTCTGACAGACACGGCTATTGAGAATCTGCTGAAGGTCCTGCCGAAGATGACGTCACTGCAGAGACTCAAGTAAGCCATACACACACACGTGTGAGATAATTAGTGTGGATGGTTTTGTGTGTGAGAGTGACTAAAGGTTTCTTTAAGTATATATAGTTTATTTTGTTTTGTTATGTGAAACTATAATAATTGTGGTTGGGAGTATTTACAGAAAACCAGATGGAGGAGTTGTATATAGAAATGGTTGCGTACTGAGTGTTTAAAGGTCCAGTGTGTAACATTTAGGCGGATCTATTGTCAGAAATAGAAT